CGAAAAAATATATTTTTATAATCATATACATAAGTTCTTATTTAACAATTTTCTTTTTTAAAACATTCGAAATTCTTCTTCATGAAGATTATGTCTTGATACACGAATTGGTTCTTCTGGTTGACTAAGTGATGATGGATCTAATGGATCTTTTTTTGTTGGTTTATCTAATTAATATTAAAAATTGAAAAGAATAGTCAAATTCTACTATTTAACTTACATGGTATATTATTCGGATTTTCTGTTTGATGATATATTTTAATAAAATTAATACTATCAAAAAATGGATGATTTTGTATATCTTTATTTCCATTAGCCAAACAACCAAGTCGTGTTGTAACATCAATTACAAGTATTTTTTTAATTAAATCAGCTAATTCCATGGAAAACGATGATGGACATGTATAACGTTGATTAACAATTGCTCTATATACAAAATTTTATTTTTAAAATATTAAAAATCAATATGAAATATTTTATTAAACATACTCATACAATTGAATATGATCTTTACCAGAAAAAGGTGGTTGACCAGCAGCCATTTCAAAACATAAAACAGCAAATGTCCACCTGAAGAAAACAAAAAAGAAAACATTATAATCGATCTATTGTGTTTTGTAACATACCAATCAACAGATTTTCCATAACCTTTATGTTTAATGATTTCTGGCTACACGAAAAAAAAACAAAATAATATACAATAATCTAATCTACTAAAAAAAAAATAATGGAATATCTTCGTCATATTTTAATAAAATGAGCCAATTTTTCAACTACAAGAAATGCGAGATCTGAGAATTGTCGTTTTGACATATCTGATTTTGTAGAGATTTTCCTGTTTATTACTTTGGTGAAATAAGTTTTCCTATTTTTATCAATAAATGAAGGTGCTACGGTGAACATAATAGAAAAGATCAGATTACTCCAGAACAATTCCATGCTTTTTAGTATTTTGAGCATAGCGCTGTCATTTGCTGATGATAATCGAAAATTCATTTTACTAAAATGATCAACACAAAAAAACCTCTATAAAATGGAATATATCAAGAAACATTTCGCATATATATATATGTCTTTGTGATTGACTATCCATGCAAGCACTCCACTAAAAATTAACCGTAATCTTACGAGTTGGTAAATGCTTATGGATAACTATTAAAAGATAGGAGATTGTAAATTGTTTTGAGAGTGAACTTAATGATAATTAGGTTATACTAGACTTTCCAATGTTCTTTCTTCAGTACCATTTCCATTAAAATATAAACTGCTTATCTTCATGATTTTCATATGAAATCGAGTGTTCACTATTTAGCAATACAACACATGCTTGTATTCTGTGAGAGAATCATAGTGGAATTTCAAGAAATTTTGAGATTTATCATTTGCGAACATTGGAAAGCCTCTAGTTATCATTAAGTTCATTCTCAAAAAGATTTTCAATCTCCTATCTTTTAGTAGTAGCCAGAAAGTGTTTGCTTTCACTTTCATGTGTATGGAAAATACTCGAAAAATTCAAAACTATGAACACAAACCTTTTACAGGCGTTTCATATCTTACCAAAGCCTACTTATAGGAAAAAATATCAACTCAAAATGACATAAACATATAGGAATATTTGCTGATGAGACGACTCTGTGAAGCCTCGGATAAGTCAAATAGGCTATTGAAAACTCAAAGATTGAAAATAAATTACACTATGAATAATATAACAGAAGTCTAAAATTTATTATTTATCTTTGTCAGAAAATTTCAATTTTTCCTTTAATCATGATTTCATTAATTTTATTAACTTTTTCTTCCTAAACAAAAACCATTAGGAAAAAAAAATAAACTCATTTTTTTTTGATAGATTATTTCTTGTACATTCGATATTATAATGATTTTTATTACCGGTAAATAATCCGGTGTACCACATAATGTATATGTCCGACCATTAACATGTTTTGCAAAACCAAAATCTGTTACTTTTAAATAACCATTTTCCGCAATTAAAATATTTTCTGGTCTTAAAATAAACAATGTTAAAAATTATTTAAATCGATCAAATAAAAAATAGAATTATACATACTTAAGATCTCGATATCTATTAAAACAAACAGTAAACAATATCAATTAATTCTAATATAAACTTACAATATATCAAAATGATGTAAATATTCAAAGACAAGAAATATTTGAGCAGCATAAAATTTCACATGTTTTTCATTAAATTTACCTGTACGTCTTAAATAAGTAAATAAATCACCACCTAAAAGAAAAAAAAATCTATTAAATAAAAACAGTTCTGTTTGTTTTTTTCGTTTTCGCTTACCACTAATAAATTCAATTGATAAATAAATATATGAATTATCTTTAAATGAAAAAAAATATCGAACTGTATTTGGATGTTGTAATGAATATAAAACTCGACGTTCATTTAATGTATGATCAATTTGTTTATAACGAAGTAATTTTCTTTTATCCATTACTTTAATTGCATAAAATTTATTTCCATCATTTTTATTTATATTATCATTTTTTAATAATGCTAAAACAACACGACCAAATGAACCTCGTCCAAGTGTACGTATAAGTTGAAATTTATCAAGTGATATTGTTGCATCACATGGTGATACATGAGACCAACGTTGTTTAAAATTTTCAATTAATTCAGCATCTTCATTTGTATTTGCATATGATATAAATTGATATAATTCATTTTTAGCACCACGAACTAATGTTGATACCATTGGAAAAATATTTAATTAAAAAAAATGTTTTGTTGATTGTTCGTATCATTAATCGATATCATAGGAAAGAAAAACACATAAAATTATCCGAATAAACAAATTTTATAAATATGACGCGCCTTTTAAAATTTTTCGTTTATTTAATAAAAGCATTTTTTTTCGTTTTTATTCTATTACGATATTTTATATGCCGATAATATTAAAATAAATGTAATGATAAAATTCATTGATTTCGAAAAATCATTTTGTTTTGAATCTTTTCTTTTCTAGTTGTAAATTCAAGATTGATAGTAATATTATAAAAATATTCTATTGGCCTTTGATATAAAATGCTTTACGTCAGTGTCCTTAGAGCATACTAAAAGTAGAGATAGTAGCACTATAATACCTTATAGAAAACTCGAGGAAATTTTCTCGTTATATATATACTGGTTATTCAAACAGTATTCTATAATATTTTATCATTCTTCAATTGTTATGATAATATTAGAATTTTGATTAAAGCTATTCACATCTGATTCAGATGGATAGGGAAATTTTCGTTTCTACATTTAGTAAGTCTGTATTTCACTATGAATTATTTTTGGCCACCAGACTCCACCTCTAAGAATAGTTGAAAGATAATATGGATGATTTCATGAAGGTTGAAAGGAGGTTGAAGACAAAAAAACGATCTACAAGACGTCTAATTAAGACGATAACTTTAATGGCCACCGTCAAGATCTACTATCTCGATATACAATGAACGGTAATATTTTAAAGCTTACAATGATCGAAGATTATTTATTGAATGGTACCATGACTCAGGCCAGTTTGCAGTTGCAATTCGTCATATGTAACATAAGGATCATAATTTATAAAGTAATGGATCTGTTCAATATGTCCCGATGTTATTCAGTTACACTGCCACTATTTTTGGTATCTACTAAGTACTTCAAGATATTAAGACATGTTTATAATTATTAGAAAAATCTATTTGACAGAGTCGATTGAAGAAAAATCGTATAGCGTTGAAATGCAATATCGTAGATATTTAGTTCCTGTTTTTTTTTTGTTAGAAAAAGCAAAGTCTAGTGCAAAAGCATATTAAAAAATTTGAACAGCAATGTTTTCAGAAAGTCATGCAAGTCTTAGAACAAAATTTATTGAGAAACTCTTTTGCAACTTTTTTAATTTAGAAAAGCTTTCATACAATATGAAAGTTTTTATTTTTATTCTTTCTTTCCAACTTTTATAACATAAGGATAGGAGACTTACTCTACCAAACAAGAAAACAATTATTCAACATATTTTACAACGACCGATATGAAACCTATTTTAACACCATCTGATATTATTACCGATCACACTCAAAAATATAAAATTATAATCTGAAAGAAAAATATTTAGAAGATATATATTTCATATGAAAATGGGAGCTGATCGAGCCTTATGCCACATAAGATTAATGCAAATGGGACACTCCTCTTAACTGTAAGATATTCTTTTTCGCGTTAGAAACGTCAAATTTATTTTTTATTTAAACTTTTATTATTTAGTTTCTTATATGCTAAACCAATTATTTTAAAATCACACGAAAGCTATCGTCGTAATCAACACTTATATATAAATAAGATGTTGGAAAACATCAAAAATCGATATTACATTGCAACGTTACATCAAAAACACAATTAATGCAAAAATTTTTCCTTCATTCGTTACTAAAAAAAAATAGCTGAATGTTAAACGTTTATTAAGTTTTATGTATCAAATCTAAATTCTTTAACAAAATCTTTGATTGAATATTATTATAAAGTTGATTTACAAGAAATAATTTGTATAGAACATGTAAAAGTCTTAGATGACATTGAAGATAACAGAAATTAGTTTTTATAATATTCTATCCAGGTAGAAAAAAGCCTTAGATTTATATTAGTTTTAGTGAAATGAATCGAATGATTATATTCAAAATAAGATACTCTAATTGATTGCATGTTTAAATATTTTATTTTAAAAAATAATCTGTAAAATTACATATTGTAAAAAGAATTAATTTTCTAAGTATAAGTATGTTTACTGTTGTCAACAACAGAATTATTTCATCAGTCTTTGCAATTCATTATTATTTCTATATTTATATATCAATTATTTTCTTTTTACTATTTCTATATTTTAAATGTAGATTGAAATATTTTAATTGTTTATTTCAATTAACATCAACTATTCCTTCTTCGAAAAATTCCAAACATTCTCATGATCTTTTACTTGCATGTTCTTTATTTTAGTTGAAAAGAACTGATTCTTTTTCTTTCAATATTAACACTAATTTGATTTTTTCTATATTTCAATGACGCATAGAGTATATCAAAGTTTCAAGTTTCATTTCGAACTTCTAGTCTAACCAACAAACACACTTTAACAATTTTCTTTTGTCCTACATTTCTCTCCCGTATATACATAATTATTAATAAAAATCATAACTATTCAAATAAGTTCAATTTAATAATTTTTTTTCTTTATAATTACAATCGATAGAACAAGAATGATATGTCACTAAAGAAATAATACATATATACATTTGTTTAATAAACAAAGCAAGGTCGTAGCACAAGAAAAAAACCAGATATTTTATCTTCTCTTTTATGAGAATAGAACACAATCAGTAGGGTTTTTTTTTGCATTTTCTGCTTCCATAGTAAAAGGAACAACAGTTTCAAATCAACTATGATCAATTTACGTTTTGTTATGCTAGAATCAAAATGAAAGAATTGAAAAGAAACGGTGTGTATCAATAGCAACATCAGTAGTCGGTGAAGATACATTTATTATCAAAGACAATTAAGACAAAAGAATTCATAATGAGACGATCAAATCGTATAGAACCGGGTAATATTGATAGTGATGCTGGGGATTTAGCACGAGCTACCGTAACAACAACAACGCATATGGAAGTTGTACGACGAATTCAAGTAGTTCCGATGGTGAGTAGCTGTGAACATTCGATGCAAAATATGTAGTTTAATTGTTGCATGTCGATGAGGATTTTTTTTCTTTTTTTTTTCTTATTCATTTTAATGATCACGGTAAAAAGAACAATCAATAAGAAAGTTAACAATTGGTTGAACAAATAGTTTTGTTTGTAAAAAATTTATGATGATTTTTTTTCTAATATTTCTTTACAGAAGGACGCACTTGCTCAATTGCATACTGATCTAAATCAATCACTTGCTGGTGACATAACTATTTCACCAAGAATTTGGACTGGAATGCCGAGTACTGTAACACCTGTAGTTGTTAGGTAATATATGATTAGTGAAGGTTATTATTCACTACTCTCTATATTAGAGAAATTTGATGAAAATGCTTTTTTTCCTTCAACCAGAGTCATAAAAATGACACAGACTATTTCATAGATTGAAAATTTTTATCATTTTTTTTTATCGTTGATTGAATACGAATATTATTTATTGGTCTTAATTTAAGAACAAAAATGTTATTTTTGAAATTTGTAATTGATTCAACTGTACATGTAAAATTTTGTTTTTTGTTTTTTGACAGAAGTTCACGCAAAACATTATGGCTTATTGGCGGTTTATTTATTGTAGTTGGATTGAGTGCTCTTGCTGCTATGATTGTTGGCTTAACAATGGCATTTGGACGTTAGTATTGATTTTTGTATAATACTCAACGTTACTAATTATTTTATTCTCTGTTGTATTTGTTAATAGAGACAACTGCCGTTGGTGAGAGTCAAATTGAACGTAAGTGAATTTCATTTAATCATATCGAAAAATTTCTGTATGATTTTATTAATTAGGATATGACATTGGTGATTTGCGTTATGGAATCGATGGTGCCGATAATGAAAATTTTCCTTCAAATACTTTTTTATCTAGTGACAATGAGGATTCTGTTCAAAAATATGTTTGTATATTTTTTTAATTAAATTTTTTTAAATAAAATATTTTATTTTAGCTCTCTGATCAATTAATAAACGAATCTGGTTATCGTGGTTTATTTATTGATGGCGTTCTTGTACAACAAGACTCGACAAGTGGTCGAAAACGACGGTACTTATGTTCAAAACTTACATAATAAAATTTCAAGATTTGTTTTTCCTAGAGCTACATCATGTTCAACTATTTTTGTTATTCGAAATATTCAAGTCTATTTTGATCGTTGTTCAACTTGTGTTGGTGCACGCAATCTTGCTTTACGTCGGGCATTTGCGAATATGACTGCATTTCAAAAATCATTAGATTTATCAGCAACCAACGGTAGTGTATCTCAAATATCTACAGGAATTTGTTCAACACCAAATATAACTAATCCAAGTGAGAAATTAGATATTTTATGATTTAAATTAAAATCTTTCTTTTCATTTAGTTGTACCAGTAACATTAAGTGTTTTAGAAGCACAACAAATTAATTCAAGTCTTACACCAACAACTACATATATGACAACGACTGAGGCATCAACAAGTTATTCAACATATACTTATTCAACACGACCAACAAGTCGTTCAATATATGCATTGACATCTCGAAGTATTTCTACAGAAAAAATAAAAGCAACGACAACAAGTACTTTACGTCCAATCGAAACAACTTTACCAATTGCAACAACAATAATTAATGATATCAGTAGTGTTGTTTCTACAATTTCATCTCCAATTACAACAGATTCAATATCAACTATTGATTTTACAACTGCAGAAACTTCAACAAAAACACCTGAAATATCTACCACTTTCATTGAGTTAACATCAACAGTATTTAATGAAGTAGATGAAACAACATCTTCTTTCATGGATTTAATAACTACATCAGGAATAATTGAACATACAACAACAGCACAACAAATCGAAGATACAACAACAATACAATTTGAAGACACGACAACCGAACAAGTCGCATACGTGACTACAACAGAACAATTCGGAAATACAACAACAATACAAACAGAAGATACAACAACAATACAAACCGAAGATACAACAGCAATACAAGCCGCAGATACAACAACAGAACAATTCGAGGATACAACAACAGTACAAGTCGAAGACACGACGACTGTACAACAGTTCGAAGAAACAACAGCAACAGATCAAGTCGAAGATACAACATTGTCTGTAGATGAGACAACGATATCCGAAGAATTTGAAGACACAACATTATCTACAGAGGATATTATGACAACAGAAAGATTTGATGAAACAGCAACAACTCAGAAACTTGAAGAAATAACATCTTCTATCAACACAACGACAACATTCAATGAATTTTTGAATATTTCAACATTAGAACCAATCGAACTAACAACAACATCTGTAAATGAGACAACGACATCGAACGAATTCAAACAAACAACATCATTTGAAGATTTAATAGCGACAACAGAATTATTCGAAGCAACTGCATATACTACTAATTTAACTTCAGCATCAATCGAATTAGTCACAACTGAAACTTTATCATATGATACGGACACAACAATTGAATTAGAAGAAACAACATCATCATTGACAAATTTTACTAGTGAAGAAAAATCAACCGTTAATTATATGATAAATGCGACAACAAGTAATGATTTTGAAACAATAACTCTTGATAATTTTGAAGATCTAACAAGTCCTGCAGTAGAAAGCTTGTCAACAATAAATCATACTATTATCGAATCTGATTTATTTCAAACAACAATTAGTCAAGATGAAAAAACATTATCAGATTCTTCGACAGGAACACAATTAGCTACTTCTATTTATGATAATTCAACTGAAATTTCTGATAGTTCGATCAAATTCGAAGCTACTACAAATGAAATTGAAATTGATCAATCATCATCCTTTTATGATGAATCAACAACAGAAATGCCTGAACTACAATCAAGTACAATATCTAGTTATACCGATGAAACAAGTCCTTCATCAATGTATCTTTCAACTACAATAAAGTCAATATCTACTCATGCTCTATCATCATTTAAATCAGTAACTCCAACCGCTACTAGTTCTTTTCGACAAACTACTCAAAAGATTTCTCCATTTTTATCATATAAACCATTATTAACTACTTCTTTACGAAATACACCATCTCAATTAACTAGTCGACCAATGTCATCATTGACATCAATAAGACCTGGTCGTACACAAAAAGAAACATTTTATTCTACTGTTTTTACAACTCCAACAACACAGCGTTACAGTACTTCACTTGCTGGAACACCTAAAACTACTTATCAATCAACAATGAAAATGCGACGTTTTACTACTGCTATTACTCCATTAATGTCTACTGGTCGAACAAGTAAGTTCTATAATTGAAATTTTTCTTTGTAAATGAAATCATGCTACATTAAAAGATATTCGAACTTATACAACAGCAACAGTTCCATTAACAACAGGAACACAACAACGCACTCGACTAAGACAGACATGTAAGAATATTACTAATTTTTGAAAAGTTTATTATTTCATCATTTGCTATTTGTAAAGAATTGATATCTTGCGTCATTAAAAGAAAGCTAAAATTTTTTCGGTCTTTTCAATATTATACAAAAAAAATCATATCTATGCATCATATAACACGTTACAATTCAACATTATTTAATTCTATCTTTGTGTAACACGATCTAAAAGGAGTGTTGAAATATATACAGTAGGAGTTTTCACTCCCCTTCCCCACAGATTGTAACAGACACTATCATGGAAACGTCACAGACCTTGCCAGCCAGGATCCAAATACTGCGACAAACGTTGTTGATATATAAGCTGCTTCCCTATTGCATTTATGGACGATTAAATAAAAGAGTGATAAAAAAATGTGCCCCAGAATAGATATAGTAAAACAATCTCTCGGTGATTACCAACAACAGCTACATCGTGTTTCTGATTTTAGTCCCGCAGAGATTATGCTAACAACTATTTTTTCTAGCATATAATCCAACAAGTATTCGACCACAAACAACTGCTCGACCACAAACAACAGTTCGATCGCAAACAACTGCTCGATCACAAACAAGTGTACGACCAGAGACAAGTGCTCGATCACAAACGAGTGTGCGACCACAAACAACTGCTCGATCGCAAACAACTGCTCGATCACAAACAACTGTACGGCCAGAGACAAGTGCTCGATCACAAACGAGTGTGCGATCTCAAACAACTGCTCGATCGCAAACAAGTGTACGACCACAAACAACTGCTCGATCGCAAACAAGTGCTCGATCGCAAACAAGTGCATCTACACGCTATCAAACAACTTACGTACCAACAAGTACTCTAAAATCACATTCGACATCTCTGATAAGCACAGAAACAATGACTATTGGTAAGCTTTTGTTTTTTTTCCTTCGAAACTCTTATTCTTCTCTAAACATCATTAATCTCCTAGAATCAACAATTGCAACCGATGTACACATTGAAACATCATCATCAGCTTCTTCTTCACCCGCCGAAATAGCTGGTACAACTAATATACCTTCAATACCAATCGATATCGATCAATCATCATCTTCTACAAATCTTTATAACACAACTGAATCATTATTAACAACAGATTTACCATTAACTATTTCTGATGAATTAACTACAAATGAATCTTATACAACATCATCTAAATTTAGTACAACTACCACTATTGTAAGTACTTCTGGCATGATCATAACAAGTAGATTGCTTGATGATTCAACTAATCAACAAAGCTTGCATTCATCTGCTTTTACTACTACTGCTTCATTAACAAATGCTTATATAGAAAGTAGTTCCATCACTTCTGTACCTATAATTTATTCATCGATACAAACAACGGCAGATATCGATTATAGATCGACAAAATTATTACAAACTCTACTCGATAGTTCACTTCCTGTGATTGATCAAGAAAAAACATCAGTAGATAGTAGTTCTCAATTTCTATCATTAATAACAACAATTTCAACTACTAATGATATGAAATCTACAACAATACCTATCAACGAACAAATGATATTCACCAGTCAAGATATTTCAAGTCAAAACTCAATCGAATCCAATACTATAACAATAACTCAGAGCACAAATAATAATATATTTGAATTTCAATCAACTGAACAATCATCAAATCTGTCAAACAATAATCACACAACAAGTATTAACTTAATGGAATCTCTTAGTACAGAAATCAGCAAAACATCGTTCATAGATACTAAATCATCAACTGAAATAAATCAAATGAATAATTCCATCACAGTATCAATCTCTTCTTTTACTCATGACAATATTTCAAGTTCAACTAATCATATAACATACATGAATACGTTATCATCAACTACAAACATAGATGTAACCAATACTGAATTCTCATCTACAATTTATACACCAAGACTTGTTACTTCAAGTGCACATACATTAACTTCAAGTTTGTATGAAGATCAATCATCATCAGTTCCGTGGTCAACATTTAATTCTGATTCCTCAATACTTTCAACTCTTTCTACTGAGAAGAATGAATTTACTACTCAAACATTTTCTACTATGAATTCAAAATTAGTAGAATTCTCAACAAGTACTTTTTCAACAATAGATCAAAGAGTTTCAAGTTCAACTCTACAATCTTTATTATCTTCATCACAATCAATAATGACAACTGACACAACAACAAATGTTTTAACTAATACAGAAACTGAATCGTCCGTAGAAACAACATTCATTCCAAGTTCAACTATTGTTACATCTATTTCTAATGTGTCATCATATCACATATTCTCTTCAGTCGAGCATAACGAACAATTATCTACAGTATCTACCGCTACATTAGATAATAATTCTACAACATTGAAACCATCAATAATTACTACCAATCAAAATCCAGATACTGATCTTATTTCGTCCATTGAATTACAACTAGCCCCTACTCAATCGACTTCTAAAATAAATGACGAAATTTTAAGTACAACTGGCACGAACATACTAAATGAAATTACAACGAAACTACTACAAGATCAAACATTAGTCGCAACAAATTATCCAACAGAATCGTCAACTCAATCATCCATATCTTCCTATAGTAATCAAATATTGACAACTCTTAATGATTTAAATAAAGTATCAACACTGTTAACAACTAGTGTAAAACATGATGAAACATCTATGCCAGCTCTCAGTAGTACCGTAGCATTAAATGTTCAATCATCCATCGAAACTGACACAACTAAAAACTCTATTCCATCAACTACTAGTACCTACAATATTGAAAATACTTTCAATTCATCTATATATCTATCGTCAGAACGTATGACAAACATTGATACTGTAACCCCATCAGCATTCACTGATGTAACTACTACCACTGTCGTATCTACTATTGATACTTCAACAATTCAACATTCAACATCTGACACTAATACTGAGACTATAACTAAAGATCGTACACTTTCAACCTATGAAGCTACCAGTAACGTATTAACGTCATCAACAATCTCATCTTATACGTATCAAACATTAACTCAAATTGTTGATACAGCAAGTAGTCAAAGTTTAGATACGAATTCTATTTCAACAATGAATTCGACAATGACTACAAATCAATTATCATCACAAACAAGTACTCTTTTCTTTAGCAATATTGAAACTACTACAACTAAAACTACTTCAAGTTCAACCGAACATTTATCTTCGCCATTATTTTCATCAGAACAGATATCAACCATTGACACTACCACGCCGCCATTCATCTCTGTTTTCAGTTCAAATTTAATTACATCCACTTTTGACACCTCCCTGGTTCAAATATTAACAACTGTCGATGAGAAGAATACGTCTCCAGCATCTTTATCAACTGCTTTGAAGACGAACAAAGTAACGACTGAAACATCAGTAATTACACATTCTTCTACTCATATTACCAATGTTTCTACTATCTCAACCATTTTGTCACACCCATCAGTGTCACAATATGCAAACAATGATGAATTTAGCACGTTTTCATCTCTTGCAAATAACATTGATATTACGTCATCATCCACTCTCCATCCATTAATATTTCACAGTTCAAGCCTTAATACATTGTCTTCACTTGCCTCAGATTCCAATGGCATATCGACTACTATTACAGCAACATTTGCTTCCACTTTTGAACATATTTCAACCTCAACTGAAAGTTCATTACCTTTATCCTCAGAATATACAAACAAGATTACTGATCCATTAATAACACAATCAACAACTATTAATGATAAATATCTAACATCCAGAGCAATGAGTAGTCAAAATTTAGAAACTGATACTAAGCAAACAACAATGCAAACAAATAGTGTTTTCTCAACTGCACTTGATAATAACAATATATTTGTCACATCGATCGTACCTACTACGACCACAGAAATGAAATCTTCGTTATTAACATCTTTAGACAATGTGTCAAACACTCCCACTATAACATCAACACCAACTAATAATATCATTGATATTACAAGTACTCAAGAAGTGTTTGAAGATAACTTATCATCAACATCTGATACTGTACATCAAACAACACATTTAGAAGTAGTTTCTACCGATTTCGATATTCAATCAACGATCACAAGTAGTTCTACTACATTGTCTACCAGAGCAGATACAACAATCAATCAAGATAAATCAACTGTTTCTCATAACGTCACCGAACTTATATCAACCTCTGTTGAATCTTCATTATCAGAACAAATCACTACAGACACCAGTAAAACTACATTTATAACTTTAACCAATGCTTTTGATGACACTTCGAACATTCCTGATGGAGAAACAACTTCTACGCTTGAGCCCACAAGCAAAATATCTACATTTAATGAGGCAACTGTTTCTTCCCTCACAATAGTTCAAAACTCTACTGATATTCAACAAAATGCAACAAGTTCATCAATATTTTCAATGACAACTGTTGATGAAACGGCATCGCCATTGACGGACACCGTTCGTCTTACAACAGCTTTCTCTACTGTTACTTCATCATCTTCAGGAAGCTCTGAAACTACTGAGAATAATTGGAAAACATCTCAAAATCAACTACAATCTACTACAGAATATACAATGGAAGAGACAACATCATCTACATCTTCTTTGAGTCCTACTCAAACGCTAACTGAAACGTCCTCAAACACCATGACAAACAGTCAAACCGTATCATATACAAGCATTGATCAAACAACCGATACTACTACAATGTCATCTACTGCACAAGATACTACACCATTACAATCCGCTACGATAAGTTCTTCCTTGTTAGATAACTCTAATATCGCCACAACTTCAGATTCTTCTCAATATTCCGTGAGCAGTACACTGAACATGATCGACGACACATCAACTACTACAATACCAAATACGAATACTGATCAATCATCTATAACATTATCAATATTACCAAACACTGGCACTCCCATCATTGAAACGACGCCGTCAACCACCATAAAACTCACCAGCTCTCAAAGAACTTCTGTTTTATCCAGTGAATATGATTCATCGCGAATATTTGATTCTACTGCTATAAATTTATTCACAACCACAGAAACTGTATCGAATTCAATGAAAAGTCAATTAGAAACATCCACAGATGATGTCTTCACAACAAATCCTACTAGTAACGAACTTCATCAATCAAGTAGTATTTCATCGATCCTTTCAACTTCAAGTACTGTCTCATCTACTGCAGACATGATCATGCAAGATATTATAAGTACTACTCAAACCACTATAAATCCGCAATCATCACAGTTCACAACTACTAGCGAAGCACGATCGTCAACGCTTTCAATATTATCTAAAGAAACCGACACTACAATTGACTTCAGTACAATGACATCACTAACTCCATCGGATTCAACACATTTTACTTCACAACCTACTAATAACCTAACATCTTTCGTGTCTCCGAATACTGAAACAAGTAACTCATTATCAACATTGTCTTCACTTCTTACGAATTCAAATGACATATCTACTACTGTTACACCAACGTTTTCTTCCACTTTGGAATATATTTCAACTTCTACTGAAAGTTTATTACATTCGTCTTCAGAATATACAAGCACAATTAGTGACCAATTAACAACACAATCAACAACTATTACTGATAAATATCCAACATCAATCGCAATCAGTAGTCAAATTTCAGAAACTAATACTAATCGAATAACATTGCAAACCATTAGTGTGTTACCGACTTCAGTTGATAATAACAATATATTTGTGACATCGATCACACCTACTACGACCATAGAAATCAAATCTTCAGATAATATCTTAAACATTGCCACTATAACACCAACATCGACTAATAATATCAACGATATTACAACTACTCAAGACGTTATTCAGGACAAATTGTCATCAACACCCAATACAGCGCAACAAACAACATATCTACGAGAAACTTCTACAAATTTCGATACAGAATCAACATCTCTCATTAGTTCTATCCCATTATCTACTAGAGTAGATACAACAATCAATCAAGACCAATCAACTATTTCTCGTACCGTCAAAGAACCTATGTCAAGTTCTTTCGAATCTTCATTATCAGAACAAATCACTACAGACACCAGTAAAACCACATTTGCAACTTTAACTCATATCTCTAGCGACACTACGATCATTCGCGATGAGCAAACAACTTCTACTCTTCAACATACAAGTAAAATATCTACAATTAATGAAGCAACTGTTTCTTCCATAACATTAATACAAAACTCTACTGATGTTCAACAAAATACATCACATTCATCAATATCTTCAATGACGACAACTGAGAACATGACATCGCCATTAACAGCCGCCGCTAGTCATGTCATAATTTACTCTACTATTACTTCACTACCTGCAGAAAGTTCTAACGCTATTGACAATACTTGGAAAACAACTCAAATCCAGTCGCAATCTACAAAACAATATACGAAAGATGAAACAACATTACCTACAACTTCTTTGACTTATACTCAAACGTTCACTAAACCTTCCTCAAACATAATGACAAGCAGTCAAACAGTATCATATACAAATATTGATCAAACAACCGATACTACTACAATGTCCGATACTGCACAAGATACTACACCATTACAATCTTCAACAGTAACCTCTTCTTTGTTAGGTAACTCTAATATAGCCACAATTTCTTCAGATTCTTCTCAATATTTCATGAGCAGTACACTGAACATGATCGACGAAACCTCTACTACCACAATGTCAACTACGAATACTGATCAATCATCTATACCATCATCAATATTACCAAGCACTAGCACTTCAACCAGGGAAAGCACACCGTCCACTAATACAAAACTCAGTACCTCTCACAGAACTTCTCCCCTATCCAGTGAATCTGATCCATCTCAAATATTTGATACTACCATATTAAATTCAATCACAACCACGGAAACTGTGTCGAGCTCATTTGAAAATCAATTAGAAACATCCACAGATCATCTATCCGTCACAAATCCTGCTAGTAACGTAGTTCCTCAATCAATTAGTATTTCATCGATCCTTTCAACTTCAAGTACTCTCTTATTTACTGCAGATATGACCTTGCAGGATATTATAACTACCACTAAAACCACTATGAGTGTGCAATCATCACAGTACACAAGTAGCAGCGAAACACAATCGACAACAGTTTCAATCTTACCTAAAGAAACAGACACTTCGATTGAATTCAGTACATTAACATCACTAATCCCATCAAATTCTACACATTTCACTTCACAATCCACTAATAACCTAACATCTTTCGTATCTTCGAATGCCGAAATTACTAATACATTATCAATGTTGTCTTCACGTTTTACAAAGTCAAATGACATATCTACCACTTTCACATCTACGTTATCTTCTACTTTGGAAAATATTTCAACTTCTACTGAGAGCTTATTACATTCATCTACAGGATACGCAAGCAAAATTACTGGCCAATTAACCACGCAATCAACAACTATTAATGATAAATATCTTACATCAATACCAATCAGTAGTCAAAATTTAGAAACTGATACTAAGCAAACAACAATGCAAACAAATAGTGTTTTCTCAACTGCACTTGATAATAATCAGATATTTCTCACGTCCATCACACCTGCCACAACCATAGAAATGAAATCTTCGTTATTAACATCTTCAGATAATGTGTCAAACACTCCCACTATAACATCAACATCAACTAATAATATCATTGATATTACAAGTACTCCAGAAGTGTTTGAAGATAACTTATCATCAACATCTGATACTGTACATCAAACAACACATTTAGAACTAGTTTCTACCGATTTCGATATTCAATCAACGATCACAAGTAGTTCTACCATATTATCTACCAGAATAGATACAACAATCAATCAAGATAAATCAACTGTTTCTCATAACGTCACCGAACTTATATCAACCTCTGCTGAATCTTCATTATCAGAACAAATCACTACTTACACAAGTGAAACTACCTTTGTAACTTTAACCAATGCTTTTGATGACACTTCGAACATTCCTGATGGAGAAACAACTTCTACGCTTGAGTCCACAAGCAAAATATCTACATTTAATGAGACAACTGTTTCTTCCGTCCCATTAAATCAAAACTCTACTGATGTTCAACAAATTGCAACAAGTTCATCAATATTGTCAATGACAACTGTTGATGAAACGACATCGTCCCTGACGATCACCGTTAGTCCTACTACACTGTTCTCTACTGTTACTTCATCATCTTCAGAAAGCTCAAAAGCTACTTCTGATACTTCGAAAACATCTCAGAATCAACCAAAATCAACTACAGAATATATAACGGAAGAGACAACATCATCTACATCTTCTTTGAGTCCTACTCAAACGCTAACTGAAACGTCCTCAAACACAATGACAAACAGTCAAAAAGTATCATATACAAACATTGATCAAACAACCGATACTACTACAATGTCAACTACTGCACAAGATACTACGCGATTAGAGTCTGCTACGAGAAGTTCTTCCTTGTTAGACAACTCCAATATCGACATAACTTCTTCAGATTCTTCTCCATATCTGTTCAGCAGTACAGCGAAACGAATCCATGAAACATCTACTACTACAATCTCAATTACGAATACTGAGGAATCATCTAAACCATCATCATCATTACGAAGTACTAGCATCTCCATGATCGAAACGACACCGCTAACTAACACAAAACTCAATAGTTCTCAAGCAACTTCTATCTTATCTACTGAATCTACTTCATTTCCAACATTCGATACTACAACGATGAATTCATTCAGTACCACTGAATCTGTATCAAATTCAATTGAAAACCAATTGGAAACTTCAACAGAGGATGTATTCTTAACAAATCCTACTAGTAACGAACTACATCACTCATCTAAGATTTCATCGATTGTTTCCATCACAAGTATAGTCTCGTCTACTGCAGATATGATCATGCAGGATATTATAAGTACTACTCAAACCACTATAAATGTGCAA